ACTCGACGGCACATAACAACAACAACATGCATTCCTTAGAGTTGTCATAGAAAAAAAAAACGTGGCTTTGAAAATGCAAGTGTTTTCTGTTCTGGAGGTTAAAAATCCAAGTCAGGATTTGAGCTATGAATTCCTGTGGATTTCCAAATTTCTAGCAACTGCTGGCTTAAGTGTATTACTTGTATTATAAAGGGATTTGTTGAATGACTACCCTATTCTGGAAAAAAGCTTTGTAAACAATCAATTCACAGGTACTGGGGTAAGGACTTCAGTATATGTTTCGGAGGGAAACAACCCTTAACCCATGTTTCCATCTCAAGCTCCTAAAATGTAATCACATGGGCAAAGTACTTTTTGTCTGACAGATTGCTGTAATGAGGGCATGGCTATCACTCTGTCTACCATAAATTTGTGGAAGAAATGAGTTCTTGAATCTCTGGGTTATAGATCATTGTTATTAGGTGCTGGTGTAAGAATCAGCTATGAACAGAAATGAACCTTACCCTGTCCTCCACCATCCTCATGGCTCCGCTAAGTTCATTGCACAGTCACTGTGTCAGACCATCTCCATGAAGGCCTTTCACTGACCTGCCATCTTTCACAGCATGATTAGCTTTTCCAACCACTGCTCCCACCCTCAGTAGCATTTGAGACAGAGTGTTTATCTCGATAGTATATGAAACAAATTTTCACCGTCTTTGCCTCTAAGGAGCATGCTATTTGCTTTTCTTCCAAGCCAATTTTGTTTGTTCTTTTGGCAGTCCCTAATATCTTCAATACTCCAACACCACAGTTCAAAGGCATATATTCTCCTTTGGGCTTCCTTATGCATTGTCCAACTGTCAGATGCATAGGAAGTAATTGAAAATATGGTGCAAAAAAGAAAATACGGTGCACTTTATTTGCCCCAAAGATCAGGTGCACTTTAGTCTTTAAATTGTCATCATTAGAATTTTGGAGAGATCCTTCCCAATGCAACACCTATTGAATTTTTTTACTTATACTACCATGGGTGTTAATTGTTGAAACAAGTAATAATGAAATCCTCGACAGCTTCAGTCTTTTCCCATCTATCATGATGTTGCCTATTGGACCAGTGGTGAGAATTTTAGAAAAATAATTACAACCTCGAATATCTGATGAGATTCCTCTATGAGTGGGAAACCAGTTAAAAGGCATTGGACTGGATTTGTTACTTACTCTGGCTCTAGTTGAAAACTATCAATGGGGAGAAAAGACAGCAGTCTTCTGTAAATACTAAAGCCTGCAGAGCTTTGGTGACCTATTGGTAAGAAACTTTGCTGCAATCCCAAAGGCACTTGGTTCAAATTCACCAGCTGCTCCCACAGAGGATGGGCAATTTCCTCCTGTATGATTTAGTTTGCTCAGCTCCATGGTCAACACTCTTGGCACCAGCAGCCAGGAAATCAAAATCGTATTGCGATGGGAAAGTCTGCTGTTAGGGACCTCTCTAAAGTACTCAAGAGCAACGGTGTGTCTCTGGAGACTAGGTGCATCTGATACAGGCCATGGTCTTTGCAATCACTTGTTATGCATCAGAGAG